ACTCGCAAAAATTCGGGAGTTTGGGGAGGTATATTATTACATGCCTCAAGAAGAGATGGAACCAATATCCTTGCCCAGTAAACTGTTTCACTATTGACCAGAGGTTCTCAACAGGGTTTAGGTCTGGTGAATTGCCTGGCCAGTCATTAAAGAACCTCACTTCACAGTCCTTAAGCCACTGAACTACAGATTTGGTAGTATGACAGTGCACCGTCCTACATAAAAACCGTAGGTCCATACTTGTCAAATGCCTCAGGTAAATTGTCACACAATAACTCCAGGTAATTATACTGGTTTTTAGGAAGCACAGTTAGTTCAACACTGAGCACTGAAACACCCCCAAACCATGAGTGTCTGGTGGTCCCATAGGTGTAGTGGGTCACGTCCCCCACAGTTACAGGTGAACGTGAAGGTTGCTTCATCACTCCAAAGCACTTCAGACCACTGTTGAGGATTCCAGTGAAGATATTTCTTTGCATAATCCAGCCTACATTACTTCTGTGCTTGGAGGGGATTGGTATCTTAACCTGGCAGTGACTACTGCAGCCCAGTTCTGACATGTATATTAACAGTTCTTATAGATACCTCAGAGAAGATGTGGGTACTTTTCTTTGAATTCTCTTGTAGTTATCTTAGGTGTACTCAAATTACTTCTTTAACACAGTTAAGATACGCACAGATGTCTTCTTCGAGGGCCCAGGCTGAGGTTTGGCAGATGGTAACTCGACACCACCACCACCAGCCTTGAAACGCTGCACCCAGTTCCTCACTGAACACTCGCACACACCAACATTCTCTACTATTTCTTTCATCTGCTGCCCAGCTTCGTGAAGCCCTATGATTTGAGCTATAATTTCAGGTGTTAAAGACCTCCTTTTACCCATAATCAAACATGTATAGCCCCAAAACCAAAGGGAATGCTAGACAAAAGATGGGGTGGACGAGAGAGAAAAGTGCAACACAGCAGCCACGTGAGCACTGAGTCACTGCGGAGTGCGGCGGCAGGCCACGACGTCATGCTAACGGATGCTACCCAGCATAATACACTAATGAAAAAAGACCCCCCCTGTATGGTAGGCCTTTGATTTTCGTCACGGCATTATGCTGGGGCACTCACCCAGCACAATGCAGTGACTAGCACTATGTATATATGTATGTATATGCATACATATGTATGTATGTATGTATATGCATACGTATGTATGTATGTATGTATTTTATATTTGCATACGTATACTATATATACAGTGGAACCTCGGTACACGACCAGCTCCCTACTCGAACAAAGCTTGGCACTTGACCAAACAAATACGACCTGCCAGAACTTCTGTAAACTATTTTGCGTTTCTTCACATTTTTTTTTTCGTATTCATATAAATAAGTCACTGTGGGGCCTACGATGATTAGTGATAACAGCCAACCAAACAGAAAATTGGTTGGGAAGAACTTGTTTGATACTCAAAAGGAGCAGTACTTAAACAGCCTTCTGGAGTGAACTAAGGTCACATACCAAGGTTCCACCGTATGTATATATGTGCATTCTTTCTTTCTTTCAACACAGTATGTATATATTGTGTGTATGTGTGTATCTGTGCACGTGTGTATCAAATTAGTCATGAATAAACTACAATTGGTAGAGGAAATTCTAAATGCTGGTTTGTCTTGGATTTTTGGAGGGAGGGGGGTATATCTAGATTTTCTAGTTTCATTTTTCAGAGGGAGGTGAGGAGGAAGTACATGAAGACAAAAGAGAAAAGTGTTGCCAAACTTATGTATATACTAGTAATGAATATCCATCCTATCAATATGTAAATGAATTTTTATACATTCCACACGTACATTTAAGTTATTTGTGTGAAAAGGTAGAAATCACGGTAAAAATAAACAAATACTAACATACTACCACCACTCCATTCCTATGAATTATAAAGTACAATAGTTTTTAAATTAATATCTGGTAGAAGGAATTCAGTAGTAATAGCTGCACTTATGAGCAGCTGCAGCATCAGCAGCAGATACAGCACCAGCAGCAGCAGCAGAAGTAGCATTAGCAGAATCACCACCACCATTTTTCCCCTTGCCATGCAGGTTAGTGACTGATGCAGTAGGAGGATTAGTGATTTCTTGTTATCTAGCACCAAACAACAAAATCACTAGTCTTCCACACCACATGAGCCTGTTAGTTGTGAGTGGAGTGCAGTTGTTAGTAGAGTTCCGTTAGTTGCTAACTCAGTATAGGGTTAGTATAGCATCAATTATTATGCAACCAGCATAGGCAAGTGTCAGATTAGCCACCGTGAAAAATGGTAGGAGATTTATCAATATACCAAAATCCTGCACTTACTTCATCTACTTCAGTTAAGTTTTCTCTAATTTGGAAGGAAAAAATCCATTCCACCCCATATATAAGGTCACATTTAAAATTCACTAGGTTGTGTGGGGGATAATACTGTTCATGTAGGGAGGAAGGGGATTTTGTTCATCACTAATCCTAGTTGAAACAATGAGCAAACATACATCCTGTGAAACTTAATACAGATGGCTGTATGCTTAATGGGATTTAAACTACTGATGCAATTTTGAAAACTTTTTTAATCTGTAATAGTAAGAAAATTGAAGTTAATTTAGTAGCATCTATATACAATGAATCATTAATAATATCCCCTAACCTCTCCTACATATCTCTTCTATCACTTGTCACCTATGAGCTTTCCTAATATATCCCAATAACAAATTAGTCAAAAACTGCCACCTTGAATTCAGGGATACTGCTATTCCCATGCACAGTTTAGCAGAATTAGCTACCTGAGTTGGCAGATAATCCAAATATAGCACAGAACAATTAAAATCATCATACAGGTAAAATTACGTGGCTTACTGATATACATTAGTACTAAGCTAAAATAAATATGCATGGAGCATCAACTCTTTAAATGTCTAGGTAAAACTGACTAAACATGGAAGTTATCAAAAGAAAAAAAATAAAGTTTTGCATTTGGAAAGCAAGAAAACTTCCTTCAGATTACTGTGCTGTCTTTGCAACAAAGTTTGTTAAGTCAATATAGCAAACTAGCAGACAAGGTACTACAATATTGGTAGCAAATGAAAACACTTAACTTGCAATAAAAGTCATTTTGCATCAACTGTTCTTTAGAAACATTTTTAGCCTCACTAACAGTCTTTGTACATTTGTTTAATTTACTCTACATTAGTTTTATTCAATGAAAAAGAAAATCCTGTTAAGCTTGTAATACTGTACAAAATTACAGATTAAGGCAGAACAGTTGTATACAAGGAGGACAATGTGTGTGCACCCAGGGTTATAGAAACAGAACAGTAAACCTACCCACCTCCCCAAACAGTAAATCAAAATCATTCACTGCTTTGTTTATGGTTAAGAGTTACACTGATTTTGCCGAAATATTTTTCCGATTTAAACTAAGGCACATCCCATCCAGAAGAATCCTTATGTAATATGGCCAACAATAGCCAAGCAAAAAAAATGTATACCATTATAGGAACCATTGTTTACCCCCTCCCCCCAAATACCAATGAGTAAATTTAAATCAATCCATAAACAGTCTTCATGCATCATTTAATGCTAAAAAAATAATCATGTCAGAAAGATGTACATTTATTTTATTTGTAATCAGGTCCCCTCTTGAGAGGATAGGTATCTAGAAGTGTTACTTCCCCCACTGTTACTGATGCTGCTGAAAGGGTCTTAAGTGTATCAGTGTCTGGGATTTATTGAATATTGTATAAAGTTTAATTCAGATCCAAAGTAAAGTTGAGCCCAATTCCTAATATGCAAGATTCTGTAGTAAGTCAATGCTCTTTTATGGTTAATATGTGAAAGTCATTCATCAGTATATACAATAGGTGTATGAATAATTGATCCATGTCATATTTTGTTCATATTTAAATGAAAATAACTTACTTTAACTTTATGCCAAGAAAATGCTGGAGCAAATTTAAATCCCTCCACAAATTATGTACTGCAGCATTAAAAATAATTTGTCAAAAGGATATCATTTATCTTTTCCATTTTACCTACTACTGTGACTGAAGAAATAAAGAAAATTCTTCCTTTGCATAGTATGACTAGCAAGAAATTTTAAAATAAAATACCATGCACAATTACAGTATATCAAAGTAAATATTTTGCCATCCCTCACACTACTTGGTTATTTGTTCCCAAGAGATTAAAAAAAAAAATTACCATTTTGCTGACAGTTTCCTAGTGTTGACTAACCCTGGACATTACTCTATTTTGAACTCGGCAATGATCTGAGATTTTCACAATTTGTTTTTAAAATTCGGTATCAATCCTTGTATGTTATGGCATGCAACAATAATGCAGCCTAAAATACAAAAGCATCTGGGAAGTTTTGTATCCATGTGCAGTATGAAACAAAATTAGGCCATGCTTTTGCACCAAAGAAAAAAAACTCGGCATTTCTTGTTACCAATAACTTTCGTCTTGCGCACTGCCTGTTGTTACTGGTGTACTGCTGCACTTAAAACAACAAATGGGTAAAGCAAGGGGTATGCGGTCTTCTCTCCTCAAGGCTTACAGGATAAATTAAATCAAACTTCTGTAGCCATCTTCCAGTGTAACTTACACATTTTTTTTTTTATCAGAACATTATTAGTAGTAGTCATGGAGGAGCGCTTAACCTGTATGGGTCATACAGTGACTGGAAGAATGGGAGGGATTCAGGTTCAATCTAAGGGAAACAGGGCCCAATTCTTTGGATTAAGAGTCCCTCACTGGAATCACATGAAACTTCTTTGAGGGGTATCAGAGAAATAGTTCAGCAAAGTCAATAGCTTAAGACTGGGTTAGTAAACAAAATAGTTAGTCCTGTGTTACATGCATGCAGCTGATACACAAAGCTACTATTCAAAACTCCTCAATGTTGAAGGGAAAAAAAAAAATATTGATTACACAATGAAATACAAAAATGCCACCTACTTCTGTGTACTGATCTACTCACCTCTGCTGAAGCAAATACTGGGCATGCTTGATCTGTGGTTCACTTCCATTGATTGTGATGACACGGTCTGTGGCACCTGGTCGAGAATCCTCAATAGAAATAGAGGCTCCAGAATCTGACCGAATCTTGCGGATCCTTGCTCCACCCTTACCAATAATGGCACCAGCCGCATCCTTGGGTATGGTGACCTATAATAAATGCCAGTGCTGAATGTATCGCAAAAATCTGCCTTTATTTTAAGCAAAGTATAAAAATGATGAAAAGACTCGTATATACTTCATTATTACACACCCAATCTGCAGCAATCTCTTTACAACAGAAGAACAAGCTGTACCTAAAGTCAAGCTAATCACTGTTAGCAGCTACTATTTAGACATGAAAATGTATGCTTTATTTGCATGGATATCAAAGAACTAGTTAGAAATTTCACTATACTTTGGAACATGGCATTAACATAATTAAGAACTAAAACAGCCTCCTTGGGAAACACACTGAACTACTGGGATACTAATTTGAAAGTTGTGGTAAACGTTAAATAACCTGAGTTGAGGTTGTAGGTAGGTCTCCATTGTGAGGGTCACTGCCATTCATGAATGGTTTGCCCTTGTTCATCATTCCATCAAAATCACCATTGGGTGGGCCCCGCATGGGAGGTGGGGGTCCATGTGGGGGACCCATGGGTCCACGCCTTCCAAATGGAGGGGGCCCAGGTGGCCCACCAGGTGGTCCACCAGGAGGCCCCATTGGTCCTCTACCCATTGGTCCACCTGGACCCATATGGGGAGGTCGGCCCATGGGACCACCAGGGAACCTGCCCTTAGCTGACTCTCCCCAGCCACCATACTCGTTAGCAAAAAACTCATCGAAGTTGTGTGGATTGTAGGGGTTATTCATTCCCTTTATGGGACTCTGCAAAGTGAAAACAAAAGTGTCAGATATATTTATAGAACACAAAGGAATAATGCTGAAAAAATGCAGAATACAGTATACATTTGTACAATGGTTATTATATTCATAAATCTTAAAAGAAAGGAAACTAGTGTCTTACGTAGTTTAACTATGGATGCAGTCAAATACAGGTATTCATTATTCACTTTCATTAGCCAGTGAGCAATAATTCATATTTAGAGCAACCAATCTTTTAAATACACTTTATAACTGCTTCTGAAGACTGCTTAGAAAAGGAGAATTATCAAAATTAAAAAAAAAAAAAATTATGATTTGAATATTTAAAGATAAATTTGATTAATCTCTCTAAAATGAGTAACTACAGTACCTAATAAACGATTATATTTAGGAACAAGTGTGAACCCCGTAAATGTTATATAGCACCTAGGAATGGGAAGTAATCAAGTTTGATCCAAGAGGATTGCTCCAATTCCTTGGATCAAGAGCCCTAACCAGCCCAAATCCTCCCTGGAGGGGTAATAAACTACTGTAATTTTAATTACAGCCAAGCTTAGGTACTGAAGTTTGCATGCTGTTATGACTACCATCCAGACAATTTCTTTACCTATTTTACTGCTTATCCATAAATATTTTTGTATGCTATTCATTAATTGTCATCTTTATGACATTACCAATTAACCGCTTGAGGGTCCATGCCATTGTTCTACGGGTCTGAAGCCAGGGTCTGTGCCGTTGTTCTACAGCGAGCTCAGCTCACTCAAGCTGTGAGAGGTAAATTTGGGCCTAGATACGAGAGAATGGGCCTATGTGGTAAGCATGCATCACAAAAAAAATCTTGCAGCACGCAGTGAAAAATGAGAAAAGAAATGACTTTTCGGTTTAAAACAGCAACTTCGCAATGTATTTTTAAGATGTATTGCAGAAATAGAGATTACTTTGGTTGGTTTTAGGACTAAAAAAATAGCTTGAAATTGAGCTCAAAGTATGAGAAATGTTCGATTTTTGCCGATATTCAAGAGTAAACAAATCATCACATTACATGCCCAGTATACGTCACCTGGTGGGTCTAATATGCATTCACGAAGGCACTGATGAATTTATTCAGTTATTACAATATTGCATAACAGTAAATCTTCTAATTTTTTGTGTGAATAAAAAATCAAAATGGAATTCACGAGTAAAGCCTGGAAATGTAACTAATGAACAAAGGAAATGTTAGTTTAGTGCCACGAATGCCTGCATTGTTTATTCTGGATCCTATTTGAAATTGGAATATTTTGAAATTTGTATGAAATTGGATAAATTACCAATTTCTGATCATTTTATTGGGTAGTTAAAATAGTTTAATGGGTGGTTTCTTATGCTCAATCGCTAAAATGAAAGGTAAACTAGCGAAATAGCTAAGAATTTGGTTGAGTGGCACAATGTAACTGGCTGAAAATAGGACTCAAAGTGGGCAAAACTGCTGGTGTGTAAATATTGCTGATGCAGCAAAAATTCACGATAGCATAATTTCATCAATTTTCCATCAAATTTCGTACTTTTTGCTTTATTACCCTCAGAAAAAGATTCTCTACCATTTCATAAGAAAAAAATAATTTGTTTTTGAAAATTCTTGGACCCCATGGACAAGTCTCAAATCAGGGGTCTGGATCCTCAAAGGGTTAATTACACTAAATACAAATTTCATAGCTATTTTCAGCTTTAAACTTACCTAGAAGGGGAAAAAAAGTGAAAAATGGATTTTAGAAAATCTTAAATGATTCATACAATTTCCTCATTTTTTAATTAGTGTATATTCTTTACTGTATACCATTATGACATTAGAACATTATGGCAATAATGTTAGCATAATTGGTACACTGCCACTGAATTGAATGGTAAAACTTTTTAATATACAGTGGACCCCCGACTTGCAATATTAACCCTTTGACTGTCGAGGTCGTACATATATGTCTTACGAGGTGCCATGTTTGACATATATACTCAAATTCTAGCGGCTTCAAATCAAGCAGGAGAAAGCTGGTAGGCCCACATATGAGAGAATGGGTCTGTGTGGTCAGTGTGCACCATATAAAAAAAAAAGTCTTGGAGCATGCAGTGCATAATGAGAAAAAAAAAACTTTTTTTTTAATTAAAATGCCAACTTTGTGGTCTACTTTCGTGTAGTATTTATGGCTGTATTCTAGTTTTCTTGTTCTCATTTGATAGAATGGAAAACATACTATAGAAATAGAGGTGATTTTGATTGATTTTACTATAAAAAGAACCTGGAAATGGAGCTCAAAGTAGAGGAAATGTTTGATTTTTGCCGATGTTCAAAAGTAAACAAATGATGTCATTATCCAATAAATGTCCAACTAGCCATTCTAATATGCAATCATGAATGGGTTGATGTTATTTATACAATTATTACAGTATTGCAGTAGTCTGCATAATAGTAAATCTTCTATTTTTTGTTTGAATAAAAACTCAAAACAGAAAGCAAGAGTAATATCAGAGGGGCTTGGAGACGTGACTGATGAACAAAGAAAATGTTATTTTAGAGCCAGGAATGTCTGCATTGTTCATTCTGGACCATATTTTGAAATTGTCATATTTTTTAATTTTCGTGAAATTGGCCAAATTCCAAATTTCTGACCACGTTATTGGGTAGTTGAAATCGGTAAATGGACAGTTTCTTTTACTCAAACGATAGAAAAAATGGAGTTCTAAAGAAATAGCTATGAGTTTGGTCGACTGAAACAATGGAACTAGCCAAAGATAGGGGTCAAAGTGGGCAAAATCTCCAATTTGTAAATATCGACGAGGTCACTAACCTCGCGAGAGCGTAATTCCGTCAGTTTTCCATCAAATTTCGTGTTTTTAGTGTCATTACAATCGGGAAAAGATCATCATTTAATAAGAATTATTTTTATTTTTTTTTTTTAATTTTGCGACACCAGGAGACACTTCAGGATTGGGGGTTGCGACAGTCAAGGGGTTAATTCATTCCAGAAGTCTGTTCGGGTGCCATTACCAAACGAATTTGTTCCCATAAGGAATATTGTAAATTCGATTAGTCCGTTTCAGACCCCCAAAAAATACACATACAAAAGCACTTACAAAAATACACTTACATAATTGTTCGAGTTGGGAGCTGATTGTAAGGCAGGGGTCCACTGTATTTAGAGAATTTTATATATTACCAGTAGTTTACCTACAAACATCAGTTTCCACATGAAAATGAAGTTGCTAAATGTTCTGTAGTTGTAATTTGGATTATGAAAATTTATCTTGGAATAACTCATTTTAAGAGAAGATTTTTATGTACATCAGGTGTTGTGGAAAAAAATTAAACATCTTTTTCAAGTGTCACCTTACAATACTTGAAATGAAGAAATAAAAAAAGCAATAAACTACCTGGAAGCCTATCTCCAAATTATATGGTGTGTGCATATGCGTGTGTGCATGTGCAGAAAATATTTGCCCAAATTAGGTATTTGTCATCTATCAGTACAAAGGAAAACTACCACATGTTGAAGACGTGAATATATTCTGCCTTCCAACTGAGATGTTCTTCAACAGAGAATCTGTTGGTTGTCAAAATAAACAGATCTACATGTGGTTTTTTCATAAGTAGTATTTGAACCTACAAGCTCCTTATAGTTTAGTGCCTCTACTGCATTACTTTAACCCTTTCAGGGTCCAGAGGCCAAATTTCAAAGTGCGCACCAGGGTCCAAGAATTTAAAAAAAAAAAAAAAAATTTTTTTCTTATGAAATGGTAGAGAATCTTTTTCTGAAGGTAATAAAACAAAAAGTACAAAATTTGATGGAAAACTGACGAAATTATGCTCTCGCGAATTTTGATGCGTCAGTGATATTTACAAATTGGTGATTTTGCCGACTGACTCCCATTTTAGGCCAATTACATTATTCCAGTCGACCAAATTTTTAGCTATTTCACTAGTATTACTTCTTTTCTATCGATCGAGCACAAGAGATCGCCAAGTCAACTGTTTCAACTACAAAATAAAGTGATCGGAAATTGGTAATATGGCCAATTTAACAAGTTCAAAATATTCCAATTTCAAAATAGGATGCAGAATAAACAATGTAGGCATTCCTGGCACTAAACTAACATTTCCTCTGTTCATTAGTTACATTCTGAGGCTTTACAAATGAATTCCATTGTGATTTTTTATTCACATAATGAATTTTTATTCAAACCAAAAAATAGAAGACTTACTGTTATGCAATATTGTAATAATTGTATATATATCACATCTGTGAATGTATATTAGACCCACCAGCTGGTGTGTATTAGATGTGTGAGGTCGTTTGTTTACTCTTGAACATTGGCAAAAATTTAACATTTCCGCTACTTTGAGCTCAGTTTCAAGCCATTTCCAGTGCTAAAACCAATCAAAATCATCTCTATTTCTGTAATATGTATTCCATTCTATCAAATGAGACCAAAAAATCGCAAATACAACTATAAAAAACATACGAAAAAACATTGCAAAGTCGCTGTTTTAATCGAAAATTACGGTCTCGTTTTTTTCTCTCATTATACACTGTGCTGCAGGATTTGTTTTATGTGGTGCACACATACCACAATGTATTCTCTCATATCTAGGCCCAAATTTACCATTCACAGCTTATCAGAGTGAGCTGAGCTCATGGCGTAGATCTACGGTTTGGACCCTGAACGTAAAGCCGTAGATCTACGGCACGGACCCTGAAAGGGTTAAAGCATTAAGTCTAGTGTAAATACCCTTAAGTACAAAAGTTTAAGCAAAAAAATTGGTATGAATACAGTAGAAAAACGAAATTCTTAAGAGGAATGTTTCATGTACTTATTTAAGGCAACCAACACATACAGTTTTATATACAATGTTTTTGGGAACAGTGGAAGGCGCACATGCTTCAAAATCCTAAATATCTACTAATGAACAGAGATGAATGATAATATACAAGTGAAGAGTGCTGTGGGCACAACATTATCAACACCCGTGGCACTACACTATTTAATATCTTACAGAAGATATCAGAAACACTAGTAGAACAAGTGTAGAAGCTCTCAAGAGAAAACTCAGTAAATAACTCCGAGCGCTGGATCAACCCGACAGTTGTGTGGGCCAGCAGGCCACCAGTAGTAACAGCCTGGTTGATCAGACAAGCCTGGCCCAGAGCTGGGCAACATGAGTAGGAAAAATCCTAAGTCCTTCAAATGTGTAGTATATCAAAAAATAAGGCGAAGTATACACCATCTACCAAATTGAATCTAGAAAGTTGTGCAGCTTTTTGCTAGGTCAAAATAACTGAAGACGTCTTTGATACTACAAATTTAAAAATCAAGACAACTACAGAACTTAAAGAGTCATCAAGACCACCTCATATCGATGGTGGCATCGAAAAACCCACTCACTTCTTTGACAAGTTCCATTATACGGGTGATGGTAAGGATGGCACGGTCACGGTCACCTGTGATCTGGATGACCCGGTCCGTGGACTGGGGGCAGCAATTGGTGTACACTTTAATCTGTCCCCCACATTCCTGAAACAAAAATGAAAAGTTAAGTGACATGAGAGAAAAATGGGAAGAAAGGACAAGGAAAGAAATGGAGAGCAAAAAATGAGAATAGATCTTCAAGTGTATCTGCAGAGGAGCAAAAAGTCTATGCAAGGACTGACATACATGTTACCAAGCAAGACAGGTTTTGTATCACCATATTCAAAATAAAACCTACCATTAAATTTGCTGCTTGCAGATGAATATATAATACTTTAGACTGATAGTAATTATTTTTGTTTTGTTTTGTTTTGTTTTGTTTTACAAAGCATTAGGAGATCCATTACTTTAGACAAACAGTTGCTGATAGTATGAAACTTCCTACTGTAATGACCAAGTTATATTGTATTAAAGAAATCATAAAAGGCAGAAAAATTCCATTACAATTGAAGAACTCACATTCTACAAACTATTTTGATAATGTGCCACAAGGCATAACACAAGTCATGGCATATTTAGAGACATGGTGCTCACAGAGCTCACGTAAAATGTAAACACTGGGTGAGGTATGGTGACCAAATGAGAAAGTCAGGTGGGGGGGAGCCGTATGGAGTTTTGGTCATAATTTTAAATGTCTGTATTAGTGTATCTGAACCAATTATGAAGAGGATGCCACAGTATGTATTCACCTATTTGTGGTTGCAGGGGTCGAGACCCGGCTCCTGGCCCTGCCTCTTCACTGATCGTTACTAGGTCCTCTCTCCCTGCTCCATGAGTTTTACCATACCTCATCTTAAAGCTATGTAAGGTTCCTGCCTCCACTACCTCGCTTTCCAGAATATTCCACTTCCTGACAACTCTGCCTGAAGAAATACTTCCTAACATCCCTCTGACTCATCCGAGTCTTCAATTTCCAATTGTGACCCCCTGTTTGCGTGTCCCATCTCTGGAACATCCTGTCAGTCCCCCCTTATCTATTCCTCGGAATATTTTGTACGTCGTTATCATGTCTCCTAACCCTCCCGTCCTTCAGTGTCATCAGGCCTATTTCCCATAACCTTCTTTTGCAGGACATTCCCCCTAGCTCTGGAACTAGCCTTGTTGCAAACCTTTGCACTTCCTCTAATTTATTGATGTGCTTGACCAGGTGTTGGTTCCAAACTGTATGTATATATGTATGAGCATTCTCCCTCAGTCCACAAAAAGATTCAAACCTACACACTCAGCATCGAAGTACACAGAACTGAGGGAAAAGTTAGATAAGAGTGGAAGCATGAATGAGTGGTGGTGGTAGTATAACTGGTTGAATGCTTGTTCAGCAAGGGGGTGTGCAGCATTCCTCAACCCCCCCTTCTCCTCCTGGTGGGAGTTAACATGGGACCCCTCCTGACAAATTGAAGTTACTTGGCTTTCTGCTCCCATCAAATCGAAGTATAATAGGGTCCCGCCTTACGGCGTTTCACTAATACAGACATTTAAAATTATGACCAAAACTCCATACGGCTCCCCCCCACCTGACTTTCTCATTTGGTCACCATGCCTCACCCAGTTTGTTTACATTTTACGTGAGGTCTGTGAGCACCATGTCTTTCCATTATGTCTAGAAACTTTCCAAAATTTCAAGTGCTTTAAAGTTATTTCATGTTTTATATGTACTCTTGATAAGTGTACTTTTGTGTACCTGTACCTAAATAAACTTGCACACTGTGCTGGCATGCAGGTACACATTAAAATCACTAAGTGTCTTATTAGTCTTTCGGACGCCATATTAATACAGTGGACCCTTGGTTTTCTAGAGTTTCAGTTTTCGTGAATTTTGGGCATCGGCAACTTTTTTCGTCAAAATACGGCCTTGGTTTTCATGATTGCCCTTGGATTTCAGGGGTCGTATGGTACATGTCCTAGTTGCCCCGTGCACACAAAACCTCCCACAGATGCATTCAATGGTGGACCCTCCATTTTTTGTCGATCTCCAGTTTAGTCGCTTTCCTCAGTTTTCGTTGTTGGTATGGTACGTCTGAGGGTCCATACGCACACAAAGCCTCCCCCACACATTCCGAGACCAGTGTCGCGTTTTTGTCGGCGAGTGAACATTATCCTGGGAGGTCATAGGAAAGATTTCTTAATGTAATCCATTGATTTAGGCACTTGTTTATTGTGTGTGACTACTAAATAAGCCACAATGGGCCCGAAGAAAGCTCCTAGTGCCAGTCCTTTGGCAAAGAAAGTGAGGAACACAATAGAATTAAAGAAAAATCGTAGCAAAGTACCAAAGTGGAGGAGGAAGAGGGGAGAATGTGCCTTCAGCGATTCTACGATATGTACGATACTAAAGCAGCACCAGTCGATAAAGGCTATAGCGCCAGCCAGCAATAAAGTGTAGCATTAACAGTATAGCAAGTAAGTTAAGCGATTAATAGATAGAAAAAGGACTGCGCGAACCTAACTCCTCTGACTTCACCACCACTGTACGACTTATGCTCTCAGTGGCCCATATACACCCAACAACAACAACACTAGTGACATGTAATGACATATTTTATTCATTCTAGAGTACATGTCATGACTATGTTATTAATATTGTTTATTATGTCATAACAGATGAATTGTGATAGATAAATAAACCATAGATGTGATATTAGTGTCACACTGAAGCATATTGTCCTGTCTCCAATAAACTCGCCTCCTCCCAGTCTGCCATACACCAACAAGTCTTCAATAAAGGTAAGTGTGATGTTAAATGTTCATTTATAAATTTTATTAGTGCTTTATATTTGTCATTCTTTTCTGCATGCAAATCTATTTAAGCTTAAAAAAAAAAAAAAAAAAATTGTTAATACTTCTGGGCGTCAAACAAATTAATTCAATTTACATTATTTCTTACGGGGAAAATGGTTTCAGTTTTTGTTAATTTCAAATTTCATCAGACTCTGGAACGGATTAATAACGAATACTGAGGGTCCACTGTAATCCATTACTTTTTGTGCTTGTAACTGCTAAATAAGCCACCATGGGCCCAAAGAAAGCTTCTAGTGCCAGCCCTTTGGTAAAGAAGGTGAGAAACATGATAGAACTAAAGAAAGAAATCGTAGAAAAGTATGAAAGTGGCACACACATGGCCAAGCTTGCCAGGATGTCCGGGAAGCCCCATTCAATGATCACTACAATCGTGAGGACGAAAAAGAAAATCAAGGAAGCTGATGTTGCAAAAGGAGTAAATGTGCTAACAAAACAGAGATCACAGGCAATCAAAAATGTGGAGAAATTGTTGTTGGTGTGGCTCAACCAAAAACAGTTAGCAGGACACTGTTTTAACCCTTTCAGGGTCCAAGGCCCAAATCTGGAGTCACGCACCAGTGTCCAAGAATTTTCAAAAAAAAAAATTTGTCATTTTTTCTTATGAAATCGTAGAGAATCTTTTTGTGAAGGTAATAAAACAAAAAGTACGAAATTTGGTGGAAAATTGACGAAATTATGCTCTTGCGAATTTTGATGTGTCAGCGATGTTTACGAATCGGCGATTTTGCCGACTTTGACTTCCATTTTAGGCCAATTACATTATTCCAATCAACCAAATTCTTAGCTATTTCACTAGTATTACTTCTATTCTATCGATTGAGCACAAGAAATCGCCAAGTCAACTGTTTCAACTACAAAATAAAGTGATTGGAAATTGTTAATTTGGCCAATTTAACACAAGTTCAAAATATTCCAATTTCAAAATAGGGTCCAGAATAAACAATGTAGGCATTCCTGGCACTAAACTAACATTTCCTCTGTTCATTAGTTATGTTTTGAGGCTTTACAAATAAATTCCATTTTGATTTTTTATTCACATAATGAATTTTTATTCACACCAAAAAATAGAAGATTTACTGTTATGCAATACTGTAATAATTGTATAAATATCATCACCATATTTGTGAATGTATATTAGACCCACCAGCTGACGTGTATTAGACGTGTGAGGTCGTTTGTTTACTCTTGAATATCGGCAAAAATTTAACATTTCCGCTACTTTGAGCTCAGTTTCAAGCCATTTCCAGTGCTAAAACCAATGAAAATCATCTCTATTTCTGTAATATGTCTTCCATTCTATCAAATGAGACCAAGAAATCGCAAATACAACTATAAAAAACATACGAAAAAACACTGCAAAGTTGCCGTTTTAATCGAAAAATCATGATTTCAGTTTTTTTCTCTCATTATACACAGTGTGCTGCAGGATCTGTTTTATGTGGTGCACACATACCACATAGATGTATTCTCTCATATCTAGGCCCAAATGTACCACTCACAGTTTATCAGTGAGCTGAGCTCATGGCGTAGATCTACGGTTTGGACACTCCCCGTAAAGCCGTAGATCTACGGGACGGACCCTGAAAGGGTTAAGGCATGGTTAGGCTGCAAGTTCAGACAAACATGCGGGTGAAAAATTTGTGCATGAATTCAAGGAGTACGTAGAGGCTGAAGGATTTCTCCCCCAACAAGTGTTGAATTGTGACGAAACAAGCCTCTTTTGGAAGAAAAATGCCAAAGAGGGCCTATATTACGCAGGAGGAAAAGGCACTGTCAGGACAAGTCTATGAAAGACAGGCTAACACTCTGTTCTATGGTAATGCTAGTGGGGGATTTCAAAGTGAAGCCTTTACTGGTGTATCACAAAATCCCAGTGTTTAAGAAAAACAGTGTCGTCAAGAGTAAATTGTGTTTGGTGTGGAAGACTTAACAATAAGGCATGGGTCACGAGAGAACTTTTCCTTGCCGTGCTCTTTCCTAGGTCTGATGCTGTGCTCTTTCCTTAGTGGAAGTGACCAGACTAGGTGGGTCATTGGGCTAATCCAGGGGTGGGGGGTGGAGGTGGTTGTCATGGACCTGCTCTGCATGGGTCAGTAGGCATGTTGCAGTGTTCCTCTTCATGTTCTTAAGAAGTGTTTGGCCCAAGTGTGAAGAAATACCTCCTGTAATAAATTGCCGCTCAAGTGCCTCCTGCTAATAGACAGTGCTCCTGCTCATCCTCTAGACTTGGATGACCAATTGTTGGA